CCTTAATTTATGATAACCAGTGTATAAAATTAAATCTTAAATTTTATAATGTATTCCAGTGCATATGAATTATATATGTACATCAGGAAAATAAGTACTTTCAAATTGCATCAGGTCCTAAAGGAGTAACTATATGAATTTAAACAATAAAAAATTAAGTTTATTTAATATTGTATGTGAACAAATGGGGATGAAAAAGATTGGAAAACAATTAAAAATGTCTAAGGAGGAAAAAATTCAATTTCAGTAGGTGAATCAACTTTAAAAATACAATACTAAGAAAAGTCACATTTCTAACATTGGGATTCAGGAAAAGATTTAGTTTTTCTAACATTATGTATAAACTACAATTTACAGGAAAAATGGTGACTGCAAAAATCTGGAGGCTGCAGAAAAAAAAAAAAAAATCCTAATTGTTAGTCAATCACTATTTAAGAGGAAAAAATTATTCTTTTATAGAGATACTTCTTATTGAGATAACTTTCCTACTCACAAGGAAAAAAAAAAACTACACTAAGTTTTCTTTAAAAAAATAAAGTTCTTAAATTTACAACATCGAAAATGGAAAATAATAATTTTTACATAATAAAACAGAATTTAACGTATAGCAAATATAGCACACAATGTGAATTTTGCAATCTAAAATTTTTTTCATCAATATTTATTACTCAAAACAATAAAATGAAATATAAAATATTAGAAAACACAGTCAATACAGGAGAAATAATGAAGTTTTAATAAAACTAAACACGATACCTTATCATGTTGTGCACACATGCCTTTTCGTTTACGAGGAATATTTACATCAATTTTGGCACGGACCAGAGTCATATTAGAAGTAACTAAACATACATGAGCAAGACCTTCTTGCATAACAACAGCAGCAAGGTCTGCATGTTGGGCAGGATCACAAGCCATTTCTGAAAATAAATAAATAAAATATATATTCAATGAATAACATACTTAAAATTTTATTTCAAAATCTTGAAACATATATATAAATTTGCTAGAATTAGTTGGATAATATGAATGCCATTTTATTGGATATTGACAAACTTCAAAGTTGACTTAAGCAAGTAAAAAAAATAATCTTAAAATGGTGGATTTTAAAGACAAAATTAACTCTATAAAATTTCAGAAATATAAATTTTTTAAATATATATCTAAGATATCTGATTTTCTGAGATTTTTTTTCCTTTTTTTGAATTCAAGAGATTGGAACAAAAAACAATATATTTTTTTATTAGAATTTTTTTCTTCATATTTAGCAATAAAAATTAGAGCCATTGAATCCGGGTGAGTTTTCATGCTACCTTTTTGCTAGAGTGATTAAATCCAGCATTGTCCATTAAAATAAAACTTATAAAAGGAAAGAAAAATGTTTCACAAAGTCAAATTTAGGAACAGGAAAATAAGTTTAGTATTTATGAATTTTAGCTTCAGTTTAAATTTAATTTAACATATATCTCTAGCAACAAATTTACATTTGCCTCAATTGGGTTCAAAATTGGCTCAATATGGGCCTTGTATGACCATGCACAGAAGGACCAATATTGGCCTATATAAGATCAACATTGGCCGAATAATGAATATAAAACATCGGGTGAACCTGTCAGCTTTATAAAGGCCAAAATTGATTGTAAAGTAGTTGTAAAATAGCAGGGGAATCGAACGATTCTATACAGGACCAATATTGGAAAAATAACAGCCGTTTGAAGACTTATTGAGCCAAGATTTGTGAATATAGGTCATAGTTGTTTTGGTGCTAGGGATACTACATATTTTTATGCATTATGAGTGAAAACAATAAAAAATGATAATACAGATAGATTCAGTTTAAAACTAAAAACCAGACCACAGATCTACTCATATTCTTAAAATAATTTTTTTAAAAAAGAATTGTTTTTATCAGAAAAATACTCCACATTTTAAAAAATAGTTTAAGAAATTATAGAAGCACTAATAAATAAAAACTGCAAGCAAAATTATCATTAGTCTATAAATAAAATTAAAAAAAAAACATTAAAAATAATTAAAAAACAACAACACAGTTTTAGATCAAACATATAATGAAATGATAAAACAACAATCAAGGGATGAAATTTGAAATTACAATTTAATTACAGTTTCATTAAAATATATATTTAAAGCAATAGTAACATAATGCATCATCATGTTAAGAAACTTTTTACAGTTATTGATATAATAACATAATTTTATAATAATAACTAACTACATAAACAGATATGCATACTATACAGAAACACACAAATAGCGTTTATGGAAAATTTTTTAGTATTACTCATTATAAAAAGTATAGCCAAGTATAAAGTAAAACAAAGAAATTCCATAACTGGTTTTCTATCTTTAGAAAACTGCTAAATTTAAAGAAATGTATGTTGGTATGTAAAATAATCAATATAAAAATTATAATATGTTTTACAAATCACAATAAAATAATAATTTATAAAAAATATTATATGTTTTAAAAATCAGAGATTTTTGACTAAATTTCCTCAAAATTAGGTGGAAACGACAGGGTCTACAGGAATGGATAAATTTCTTGCAGAAATTTTTTTAATTGTGAACAGTTTGTAAATGTAGGTTCAGGTGGGGGAAAGTGGGTATAAAATCTAGTTTTTTTTAAAAAGAAGGTTCTAAAATGAAACCATTAAATTTATTTCATTGAAAATTTTGATGCATTTTACATTTGAAGCATAACTTATCGATTTTGTTTGTTGTTTTCTTACAGTAAGGCATTCAAAAGAACATATTTTGATATACCAACTTTACCCTAGAGTGGCGTAAAGTTTTTATTTCTATAATTAGTATATATTTCTCTACAAAACAAATGTAAATATTGTTTTAAAAATACTCTTAAATAAATGCATGATTATATTGAAAAAAAATAAATGTTGAAAAATTGTTTTTTTCCTATTAATTATTAAATTAAAGGATTAATGCTCATGGCTATCAAAATAAGGCTTCACTTCGGATGCATTATATTTTGCGGAACTCAACACAATTTCAACAGAAAGTACGGAAGCTGTAATAGTTTTTGGTTGATTTTAAATATAAATGAGAATGTAAAAATTTATATGTATAGTGACAATATAAAGTGTTTTTACTATTTATAGCAGACACATATCCTTATTCAATTTAGTTACTTTAAGGAAATTGTTTTGTTTGCAATGAAAAAACTGTCATATGAAAGCAGAAACTTACGAGAAAACACATCTATGTCTTTAACTATGCTCACAAAGTTGTACCATTATGCTATTTTGGTAATTTTTTGTAAATTGTTTAGCATGTATTCTAAAAGTGATTTTGTTACCCTCATCATTCTTCTCTTTGAAAAATAAAATTTAAAATAAATGTTGCTTTCAGTGTTAAAATTACTACAGAGAATCAAAAGAGTAAACTATTCTTTATCATTTAAATATAAAATATAGAGCGTTAGATACTTTCGAAAACTAACACAAAAGTAAAAAAAAAAATCCCCAACATTGAGCTAAGCCTAAATATATACTCACTTTACCCCACCTTAAAAAATATTTCATAATAAATAGTTTCTTAAATTTAAATTAAATCAATAGATTAAATTCATTCTTAAATTTCTATGTAGATCTGTTTTTTAGATGTTCTTCCAACAGACTGAACTAAAATTAATAGCTTTTGCCAGTTTTTTATTGATATTAGAAAGTTTATAAACAGTTTAAACTAACATACTAGTTTGTAAAAATTAAATATTTTCTTTTTTTATCAGTTCTTAAAACTTAAATAAAAGTGCTTCCCACAATCTCAGTAAATGTCTCTAAAAATAATAAACAAACTATCTCAATTTAAATGCAGAGAATAGAAAAGGTTTTTTTTAATATGTACCCACCTGACCCTGTAGAAATATTTTTTTTTTTTTATCTACACAGATAATTAAGTAAAGCAGAAAAATGAGATAAGAAAATTGACTGAAGAAAATTTTATCATTGACATAAAATAAAAAAAGACCCACATTACAACAACATTATAAAATCATATATATTATACAACAATATACATAATCAATGAATTACATAAAAAAACTTGACTATCTTACCAATTCTTTCGAGTGCAACGCTATCCCAACATGATTTTGCGAGGGTAAATTTTCGATTGAGTTCCAAATCAATAGTATGATATGCACCCATCTAATTATTAGTTAAAGAAAAAAAAATTAAACTCAAAATATTTACGATAGAAATTGAACATATATATTCGTATGCAGCACTTACTTTTACAAATTGATTTTCTTGTATATTTCGTCCTTTAACTCTAAGCATGCAAGCTTGTGTGTCAAAATCAACATCTTCTACTCTTATAGTAAGAGTAGTTCTTATTCTATTACTTCCGGTACTTCCAGTAGCTGATTCAGTAGTCACTTTTCTACAAGAATAATATTTTAAGAAAAAAAGTAATACATATAAAAGATTAACATAAAAGAAATACTTTTTAAAATAATATTGTAAGAACTTTCTTGAATTTTATTCCTGATTTTACTAATTGCGATGATATTATGATTTTTTAGACACCCAAGATATTTTTATATATCTGAGATACATTTTCAGAAAATTTACCACTCTAAGATTGTTTTTTCTCTAAGCTCAAGTCAACTATGAAGTTACTTTCTGAGTGTTTGTGACTAACTGAGAAACTATATTTTTAAAACTTTGACATTAAAAGAAAATCTTTAAGATCACAAGTTAACTTAAACATTATATACAGAATATTTACTGACTGTGAAATACCACACTGAATATAAACTAATATAATATTTTTTAAATAGTTTTTTTTATCTACTAAAACTAAAGTAAAGAGTAAATAAATATTTCAGAAAAATAATATTTTCATTGTGCTAAGAGTAAAATGAACACTGAAGTAGCTTAACTTTTAATTAGCTGTCATACCACTAGAGCTCAGGATAGGGATAGCTAGGAGCTCTAGCTCTCACCAGACACAAGTTCTTTAACTAAAAGTAGCTTACACAAAAGTTTCATTACTTGCAAGTTAAACAAGTGTACAAAAAAATATTTGGTTTTCGTAAATAAGTACCGTCATGTGGGGCTACTTTCTGCAAATTCGAATTTGGCACTTTTCAAGTGCTGCTATTTAGTATTGTTTTTTTCTTGTTAAAAATGTGTGGAATTTGAAGATAGA